AGCAAGCTGATGACAGGTCTGATTCCTTGGCATATGCCAGCACTAATTTACAGTCGAAAAAAGAAAAAATCAAGTTGTGGAGCCGAATCTGCCTGTTATAAGACAACAGTACTACTTCCCACAGTACCGTACCCGCGACCTTACAGCAAATCGAATCATGTCATTTTTATGCGTTTTGTGCTGTGTAACAGCATCATAAAACGCATATTATCATGCCCCTATCTATCTGTGTGTGCCCCCAGTGCGTTTTGTCCCGCACTTTTAAACTGGGGACTATAAAAACTGGGAGGCTGAAGTCTTAGTAAAATGCCCCCCGCCCATGGGCGACCTCGCATATTTAAACTCAGCCCTAACATACGCCTGGGTGTCATGTACGGGCCAGTGAAAGTTTTGGTGAGGAAAATTACTATTTCGAGGACCGGAAGGTCTGGCAGACCGAGATTTCAGGAGAATCTTGAAATCAGCTCCCACATATGCCTATATCTCACGTACAGCCATGTGAAAACTTTAGCACGAAAGTCGGTGACTGGGGAACCAAAAAACTAGGAAACTGAAACTTTGAGAGGGCGTTTCCCATCCGTATGCGGCCTAAGTCTTCAGATCCAGCTCTCACGTACGCTTACGTTTCAATTGCCAGTACGCGAAATTTTTAGTGATACATTTCGTAGCTAGGAATTGGATAACGCATCAACTATTTTTGCACACATCAAAGTGTAAAATAGTGGAAATTTTTGACAGTCAAACATCCTACACAAAATGTATGATATGATAGTATCGGCTGTCCTGGTGTGTGTGTGTCGACATTTACATCTTTTTTGAATGAATAAGTCACACGGGGCACATGCCGTTCTCAGCAGAAGCACTTTTCAGATGAATGTACCAGTTCCAGCAGATCTTTATCAGGCGCAGCGTACACAACTCAGTATCCTTCATCACTTGATGTGGTCAGACCGTTTGTGGCAGCAAACATCTGGTGCTATGACAAGCATTGATCGAGGTTATTACTGATACTGTTTTAAGTGAAATCTGTCGAAAAAATGATGTGCCGATCACGGGAGCTTTTGTAATTTCCGAAACGAAAGGTGTTTTTGGAGGAATTTTTGAATTTCCCGAAAATAATGTTGTTTCTCATACTTCAGCCGGGATTAATTGCTTGTTTTCTTTAACTCGCTACGTTCTGGTTTTTTAGAGATGGAGAAACATTTGGAAGAATTGTGTGGTCCTTTGACCGTTAACGCCAGTTTGATCGATTTGGCTGAATATCTTGCAACAGCAGTAACATGGCTTCAGGCTGAATACCAGGCGGAGAAAGGACAGTTTCCATCGACGTCAGTATAACAGCAGTAACAACAGAAGCAGTGGAACCGCTGGAAACCGTCTTTTAGCAAGATTCAGGAGGCGCTGTTTTTGCGGTAAAAGCGGAGATTCTACATTTGGTGCCACTATCATCATTTTTCGCCCTTTGGCTGTAGTTTGACAGTGTGCTTCTTGGCTTTAGATTTGATGTCGATGTGAAAACAATTCTCATCATCATTCTACTGTAACATATTCAGTGATAAATTCATGATTTAAGGAAATATTTTATAAAACTTTTAAATAAAATATTAGGATAGGAAGTAGAGAGGGAGAGGGGGAGGGGGTCAGTCTAAATGTTATGTGCAAGCGGGCATGTTAAGTTATAGTAAGAGTTGATAATTTGCTTCTGAGACAGTCTAAAAATCTTATGTTGATAAAAAATTGGATCATGGAATGATTCAATAAATAATCAATTAGTAGATTTTTTTTACGATTAAAAATTG